GGTGAACGTGTCACCTCTCCAGCGACATTGGACGAACTACCAGTACATCAAATTTCTCCGCCTCTACGGAAAAAAAAAAAAATAGATGGTTTACGGGGAGTTGCGTGAGAAAGTTCTCTACAAGAATGTAAACTCAGAAGGATTTAGGAAATCTTAAGAATCAGGGCAACGCTGAAGTTCTTTACTGGGAGGAGGCGCCTTCAGCCACCTCAAAGCCGCGGCTTTCCCCTCAGCCCTCCGGGCGCCATTTAACCGAACCGCCTTCCCGTTACCACGGCAACGAGCCGCGTGGGGGCGGGCACACACCGCCTATCCACCAATCAGCGCCGTCCCCCGCGGCGGATCCGCCCGCTGATTGGCGCGCGCGGCTGTCCATCAAGCCGCCTCGGCGTCGGCCGCCGCGGCTGCGGGGAGGACGCTCGCTCCGCCATGGCGCAGCCCGCCGAGCCTCAGCCGCCGGTCGTTCCCTCCTGCCCGCTGCCCGGCAAGATCTGCGATGTGGCCCGCAGCGAGAGGCCTCGCTCCTGCTGCGGCATGGCCATGGCCGGCTTGCGCACCGCCAAGTACCAGCTGCCCGAGTGGCACCGCCGCAACGCGGGCGTCTGCTGCGAGGCGCTGAGGGCGGGCGAGCGGGCGGAGCGCGGCCGCGCCGAGGCCGCGCAGCTGGTCAAACATGCGGCCGCCAGCGCGCAGCGAGCCCAGCAGCGCTCCAAAGCCACGCTGGGCCAGCGCCTGCAGGACGTGCACTTCTGGAGGATGGAGCTGCAGAAGGAGATCATGGAGCTGGACGCCGAGACCAAGCTGCTGGCCGCTCAGAAGCTGCGGCTGGAGCGGGCGCTGGATGCCACCGAGGTGCCCTACGCGGTGGTGGTGGATAACCTGGACTGCCGGGAGCGGAGACAGCCCCCGGACCTGGTGATCGATGAGGTGGAGAGGCAGCTGCTGAAGGTGAGCAGCGCCTCAGCCTGGGGATAGACACAACAAAAAAATGAGGAGGTGAAGCTGCTGAAGGTGAGCAGCATGT